TTCCAGGTCCCTTCCAACTCCTGATATTCTCCGATTCTGTGAAACCACAGCACCCTTGAGATGTGACGTTACACAGGGATGGACAGAACAGGTACAACCCCAAACCCTTCTTGTCAGGGTCGTATCAGCTGAAAACGCCTGCAAATCCCCCAGAGACTTGGGGTTTCTGGAGGACAACTCACAGACGGGGAGATCACGTCTCTGGGGTGAATTTCTCACCTTGTTCCCCAAATCTGGGTGGCGGATGAGGAAGCAGCTCTCCAGGGACACCGTCTTGGGGAAGGACAGCAAGGAGGAAGTGGGGAAAAACTCCTGCAGAGTCCGAGTTTTGTTCACAGATTTGTTCCTAAACAAAACAAAACAGCTCACGTTAAAGAAGTATCACACAATGGTAACGCTTGTGTTTAAAAGGCTACTTGCAACATCAAAGTACTTCACAAATATTGGTGCTTGATAAACAGCCTGCTGACAGATGAGCCCCTAGGAGCAAAACTTGACCTCTCAGCTTCTAAACCCGTGCTCTTTCATATCCTCCTCTTAGTACCCGCAGCAGGACCGTGTAAATGGGGAACAAACTGTTCATCACAGCCGCCTAAACTTCATTTCCCTCCCTTCTTCCCTTAAAATGCCCCGAGTCATTGATCAGCTCCATTAACTACACAAGACGCAAAGAGGTGGCATTGCACGTAACTGAAACCACACGGCAAGGCGGGGGAATCCAAGGCTGCTCTGGAGGCCAAGAATGTGACTGGAAAAGGCAGGGTGGGGTTTGTGTTTTTACATCTCTGCCTGGTGGCTTGACGTGATTAATACCTCTGCACCCCGACCGTCCAGCGCAGCGGGAAGATCCCATCGAAGCATCTGGCATATAACTTGTGTTCTCCACATAAAAACGCTTTATTAAGATGCTGGGTTGCTCTGGAACCTTAGAGAGCTCTGAGTTGTTCACGATTTGCAGCCTTGCTAAAGGCTTATAGCACAAAGCTTGGTAAGTTTAGTTTAGTTTTGTTTAGGGCTGGCTGTTTTTCCTGCACGAGACCAAACACGAATTGCAGGATCCCCAAGAGTTTGGCAGAAGCCACGGGATCTCTTCTCAGTCACAGTAATGGTGGAGGATTTCTGCTGAGCAGACAGAGGTGATCAGAAATGTAAAGCAGGTGCCTTGAGTGATCCGACCACAGCCCACACAATTAATGCACGGCCTGCAGAACAGGACCGAGCAGTCACTGGGATATTCTTGTCTTGTCAGGGTGCAATCTGTGAAGCCCCAGCCACTCCACTCTATTTTTAGTGCAGGAGTCTTCTCCTTGGAGCAAAGCAGCGCCTGCAGACAGGCAGGAGCCTGTAATCCACTCCTGCTCCCCTTCCCTTCAGTCAAAGCACAGCTTGCAAGCCCCTGGCAGTTCCTATCAGCAAAGAGCCCCACAGAAAGGATGGGTTCATCCATCACATCTTGTCTTTGGCTCACCAGGGGAAGAAAAATGGGCAGCTCCACAGTTCAGCTGAGTTTTCTTCTATGATAACCTCTGCCAGGTCTGGATCCTGGGACTGAAAATGCTTCAGTTCTTCATAGGAGAGGTGCTGCCCTGTCTTTAATGACACAAAACAAAGAAAAGCTGGGTACCCAGGGTTCCTCCCATCCCATTTCCATCCCACCAAAGAACATCCAGTAGTGACAACCATCTAGATTGCTAAATTTCCAACCACAATGATAATTAATCAGAGGAACGACTTGCTAACGATGCAGCGAGCTCGATCCTGTGACATCTTTAAACCGGGGCTAAATATCTTCTTAGATACATCTTGTACCTCAATCAGCAGCTTCAGTTTGCCACTGAAAACACTGGGCAGGGGTCTCTGGTGCTATTCAGGAGTCTGGGGACTCCAGACTCACAAAGCCAGGCGTTACCTTGATTAGAAAAGGCTGCGACCTCTGGAGCTTTTCGGAGAGTTCTCCCAAGTCTGTCACCACCTGAAGGCTTCTGACAGCAGAACAGACCGTGCAGTTTGCAGGGAGCGCAGAGGTGTTCGGTCTGCAACCTGCTGCCCACCAGTCCTGGCATTCTTGGGAAGAAACAAGAGAAATGTGGTTAATAAGACCAAAACTGAAACAGAAAGGAGACAGACTTGATAATAAACTCATTATCCCTCACTGAGGCTTCTTACAGCTCTCAATGGCTGCAAGTTACTCGAAAGGAGAGACTTCACCAGGCAGGGAAATCATCACAGAACGTTCCCAGCACAGGCTGAAGGTTTGAGATACGGCTCAGGGCTGTGAGAAATGGGAGAGCTCTATGGAAATCCCACTTTTCTCTATATATGAGGTACCCTTTCATTATCAACAGACAGATGGCAACCACCATGTACACAGACTCACAGAATCGCTCGGTTGGAAAAGCCCTCTGAGATCATCACGTCCAACCGTTCCTGTCTACCCCCTAAACCATATCCTTAAGTACCTCATCTACCCGCTCTTTAAACACATCCAGGGATGGTGACTCCACCACCTCCCTGGGCAGCCTGTGCCAGCTTCTGACGACCCTCTCAGTAAAGAACTTCCTCCTTATCTCTGACCTGAACCTCCCTTGGCACAGCTTGGTGCCGTTTCCCCTTGTTCTATCCCCCATCACCTGGGAGAAGAGCCCAGCACCCACCTCTCCACAAACTCCCTTGAGGCAGTTGGAGGTGGTGATGAGGTCTCCCCTCAGCCTTCTCTTCTCCAGGCTAAACAAGCCCAGTTCCCTCAGCCGCTCCTCATCAGGCTTGTTCTCCAGAGCCCTCCCCATCCTTGTGGCTCTTCTCTGAACATGCTCCAGAATCTCAACATCCTTCTTCTAGTGAGGGGCCCAGAACTGAACACAGCACTCGAGGTGCGGCCTCACCAGTGCCAGGTACAGGGGGATGATCACCTCCCTGGCCCTGCTGGTCACACTGTTTTTAATACAGAAGTCCCGCTCCCACGAGAAACCGCTCCAGCGAACGTTCCCTCCCTCCTCACAAGAGCAAAAAGAAAATCTTTGTTCCCCTGCCTGCAGAAAGCTTCGATTTTACAACAACAACAAAACCCCTCGACTCACAAAACCCAGCTGGTCAGCGACAGGAGACAAAAGGCTGAAAGATCTCACCAGAAAAAGGGCAGTCGCCACGAAGAGAATGAGAAAAATGTATCTATCTTATGGCCTCTCATCATAAGAGTGGCAACACCATCACTTCTTCCTGGGCAAAACATAGAAAGCTCATCCCAGAGCATTAAGCCCAGTTGTCCCCAGATCTGCTCTCCGGGCAGCACCCCACGTTAACGGGATGTTAATCAGCTTGACAGGAGAGAGCTTGATTCCTCTTTTGAGCTGGAACATTTGCATTCTCAATTGCTCGATTCAGGAGGCGATTTCTTTTCCCCATGAATGACCCGAGTGGAGCACAGCCCAGACGCGTTTCGAAAGCCGCAAGTGGGGTTGGGGGGGGATGTTTTGTTGGGTTTTTTTTGGCAATTAATCTTTTCGATTTATTGTCGAGGGTGTTTGCCTGCGCACCAGCACGTGTGTGACTGGCATGACAAGTACGGGCAGAGAGGAGAGGAGAGGAGACAGCGCAGAGGGGAGGGCACGCAACCGCACACTGGGGAGCGGAGCAGGAGTTTTACGGATGCTTTATTCTGCCTTTCGATTCCCCTCCCTGCATTCCTTTTCCATTATCACCCTGCCCAGACACCCTGGGGGATCGTTCTGGCTTCGGTGGAGCTGCGCTGTCTGCGCGCAGGCAGAGTCTGCTCTGGGATTGACAAGAAAGACGCGCTCTCCATCCCAGCACAGCGGTGTCACGCGTGGCCGTCGCACGCTGGTCCCGTCCGCTCGCCTTTGGATGTTGAAGCACTGGGTGTGTGCGGTGATCCCTGCGGAGCTGGGGCGCAGGGAAGTGGCCGCACCACAGCCACACACGGCCATGAATTACACGACAGCGGCGCAGGCCGGTCCCAGCAAATCCCTTCTGCTTTCTCACTCCTCTTCAAGGAGCAGCTTTCACAGAATCACAGAATGGCTCGGTTGGAAAAGCCCTCTGAGATCATCACGTCCAACCGTTCCTGTCTACCCCCTAAACCATATCCTTAAGTACCTCATCTGCCCGCTCTTTAAACACATCCAGGGATGGTGACTCCACCACCTCCCTGGGCAGCCTGTTCCAGCTTCTGACGACCCTCTCAGTAAAGAACTTCCTCCTTATCTCTGACCTGAACCTCCCTTGGCACAGCTTGGTGCCGTTTCCCCTTGTTCTATCCCCATCACCTGGGAGAAGAGCCCAGCACCCACCTCTCCACAAGCTCCCTTGAGGCAGTTGTAGGTGGTGATGAGGTCTCCCCTCAGCCTTCTCTTCTCCAGGCTGAACAAGCCCAAAACCTTCAAAACAAACTTTCAGTTTGTTAAGCAAAACCTCAGCTCTCCATCAGCCATACCCAGCTAATATTTGCTTTCCTGCTTTATCAGCTCTCCAGAACAAGAGCCGTCTTCTCCCCTGTGTCAGGATAACTCCTAGCAGAGCCAGGGCCGGGGACTTCCAGCTGCTAACACAGACAAAAAGATAACAACTTTCCTTAAAACACAACTATGATTAATGCTAGAAGGAGTTTATGACTCTACTTTCCACTATGCAGAAAAATAATTTTCAACTTAACAATCAATTTTAAACGAGCACCTCGCCCTTCTTGGCCATTTTCACAGAGGATCTCCCCCGTTTTTTGGCCGTCCCCAGGACTGCAGAGGGGTGTGGGCACACAGCCCCAGAGATGCTGGGTGTGGACAAGCAGAGGTTACTGAGCAGGCCTGGCCTCGCAATAAAACTCGTGGAGACTTGCCCATATAGATCTGAGAGCCAGACGTCAGCAACAGCCCCGTTCAGGGACCGTATGGAGGGTGAAATATCAGCCTGCCACTGCAGCAGGGAGGCCTTTTGCTCCTGCAAGGCACATGGAGCCAAGGGCTGCTCCTAACCAAGTGTGGAAAATGGAAAACCTCCTGCACGTAGAGCTGCAGGTGCTGAGGCAGTTTGCTGGCTCCCCAAGGACTGCAGGGCTGAAGAAGGCTCTAGCAGGCCATGTCTGCACAGGAAAACCTGGTCCAGGGGGAGGGATGCGCCCCCCAGGACTTCACATTTCCCCCAGGTCTTCTGTCCTTAGGGGTTGTTGCTACCATCACCCATGATGAGTAGAAACAAGCTCCCCAAAACGCTGCCTAACGCACAAAGCGGCTGCACAGGCTGCAAAGGTCGGTTCCAAACCCCCAGTTCCTCTTTTCCAAGGATGATGCTATTCCCCAGTCCCACCACATGCCCCATGAGCAACCAGTGCGAGGAGTATTGAAGCAACTTCAGCAAACCTAGGGTGAAACCAGGGCTCTCAAGGAAGTCTGGCCTGCACACTGAACATTCACAGGATTTTCTTGGTCCTTTCCTGTTGGTCATGGTACAAGCCTGGCTGTTCCATCTACGCCCACAGCGATTTTGGACCGTCCCTCACAGGATGCAATGAACCATCAGGAACCACAGAAATCCTCGTCATCGGAACAGGTCAGCGGGTAAACCTCAGGGCTCTCAAATGACCAACTCTACGCTGGCCAATTCAAACGTCAGCTCGGGATGGGGTGGACTCAGCGGACCTGACCCAGTGACTCACTGATGGTGCCGCACTGACAGCCACAGCCTTGTTCCTACATCTGACAGATCCAACACTGAGAAGATGCTGATTTCCACCGTTACAAAGTCTCCCCGTAACTGCACATCTGTAAAAGTCAGGGAAGTTTTCAAGGTGGATCTGAAGAGACCCTTCAAAGAAGGGATTAAGACCTCAGCCTGCCTCTGCTGTCTGCAACCACACTTTTCCATAGAGCAGCCGTGCATCCACAGCCCGCGGGACACCAACCTCCTCCATTCATTTTCAGAGCAAAAGCCCAATGCTGATTCTTATGGCTAGAATTTTTTAGGAGTCATTCGCTCCCACCTGTAAATTCCCAGAGATCCCCACTGCTCTGATGTCCAATTGCCATCGCTACAGAAGGGCTGCAGCTCTCCCTCCAGTTGGAAAGATCCAGCTTCCAGATGCTGGCTTTTCCAGCGCTGTTTCCCATTATTGTAAGGACAGGGATTTGCAAGGTCTAGCCCTTAACCTTAATGTGAAGTTGCAGCTCATAACCTCCCGTTATTGCTTTGACAGCCAAAGAATACGCAGACCAGGTTGTTCTTGCTCTCAGTAGCCACTTGCCGCGTTGGGACCACTGCAGACTTACTGTAATACTCCTCAAGTCAACAGCTTACCCGTGCTACGTCATCCCAGCAGGATATATACTATATGCTTATCGCCACGGCCCTTTCCCAGACCTTAAGAGAAAGATAAAACAGTATTTTAAAAGCTCAAAGCAATTTTCAGATGTCCATTCACGATCACAGCCCAGGACACGAGTAAATCTCATGGTTCTTACTCCACAGAGAGAGAAATTCAGAGTTTTGTCGTCACCGTGTGGCACAGCTCGGAGAGGACATTTGGAGGGCTTTGCTGCAAAAGCAACATTTCCCAAGCACTGTCTTGCTGAAAGGCTAAAAATTAATGTAATAGTTTATAATGTCATGTCAGAGTCAGGCAAAACTGACGGGTTTGTGAGCAGTCGGACAGGAATCACGAGGAGTGCCTCTATTAATTACAGGGTGGAAGTCCTGATTAAGGAGTGCACCACAGTGGGGTTTAAATACAAAGATCCTCACCTCTTTCTCATACTGAACTTTTCAGTAGCTCCGAGTACACTGAATGTATTTATGCCAGGAGCAAAACAAAAAAAGTACCTCCCAGTTCGGTTCGTAGCATTTTTAGGACCAGCCAGCAACACAATAAACCCATTGAGAAACCCTGGGTTTTGTTCTGGGTAAGAAGTCAACAGCCCAAGGAACTCTCCATTCATTGCGCTAATGGGTAACGGCTGCTCAAACACCCCAAGGATGATCAGTCAACCTCCAGCAAAGCATTAAAGTGATTTTGATCCAACCAGACGTTGTGAAATGGTCTGCTCAGGAGGAACACGCAG